AGTGCTAACAGAGATAAAGTTATTAGTTAGGTTTGATAGATCTATACGAATATTCTTGGATATGAAAGTCTACTGATAGAAAGTGCTAACAGAGATAAAGTTATTAGTTAGGTTTGATAGATCTATACGAATATTCTTGGATATGAAAGTCTACTGATAGAAAGTGCTAACGGAGATAAAGTTATTAGTTAGGTTTGATAGATCTATACGAATATTCTTGGATATGAAAGTCTACTGTTAGAAAATGCTAACAGAGATAAAGTTATTAGTTAGGTTTGATAGATCTATACAAATGTTCTTGGATATGAAAGTCTACTAAAAGTTTAGTTGAATGTAGCCTAAACTATTTTTTCTACAGTAAATGCTTCTTTTACTTTAAAGCATTCGGATTCTCACTAAGGGTATAATATGGTTGTCAGTTCAATGTTTTCTATGCCATTTAGATTTGCCTCCACCCCCCGTGACACAGCAGTATGTCTGTGGACTTATACCCCTAGAAACTGGGTTTCGATACCTGTGGTGGGCAGAGCATAGATAGCTTTTTCATTCTGATACTTTTAGACATATAATTACACATGCCTTAAACATCAAACATAACGTTGTAAAGTTGCATATGCATTTTTCTTTATAAAAACAATAACGAGATCTAAGTTGGGCATATTCTGATAACCTTTCATTATTTTCTGACGTGTAGTTACAACAAGTCAGTTATATATGGAGGAAAAAAAAATCAGACTAATCTCATTTAGGGTCGCCCATTCCATAACACTATCACATTGTATTCCTCATCGGCCTCTATCACATGCATATTATTTTAACAAGTCATAAATAAGAAAGAGGACGATTTAGTTAAAACACAGATGCCATAGTTTCATTACATGGTAAAACGGTCAATTAATATTAGAGACTATCAGGTGAAAAAAGACAATAAAACAAGTAGTTACATGGCTAGGTCGAAAATTAATAAAAATTTACAATTTCCAATCCAATAAGAATTTTATGCTTGTATTTGTATCCCTAATTTTGCACTACTGACCAGATGAAAATTAGCCAGTCAGTAAAACCAAATTACCATCCATTTACGTTAAATGAGTGACTATCACTCTTATAATGTACCTATAACCTCTAGTCCACATAAGATTTGGTATCTAAAAATAAGAAAGAAATACATAGTTTGTGAATTGAGCAAATCATATATTTTATATGCCTTTATAGTTGCACAGTGTTTTAATTTACATTTCTGGCTTAACGTTTGTCCGATGATAAGGAGT